GAACTAATGTCATCCCTTAATGATTGGGCTAAAGGCAAAATAGTTCCAATTCTAGGATCTTTACTTCATTACCAACCGCCTTAATAGAAATCAATCCTCCTAAAAGTTAAATATAATTAAGGCATGATAATACTTGCAAGTGGTAATTCTCTGCCTCTAGAAAAATAAGAATAGAAGATTCGACTCTTATGTATCACAAAAATAGATATATAATTTAAAATATTGAGGTGAAGATTAATTTAAAGAAAATCATAACACAAAGTAATCTAAGTACATGAATGTATGTGACCCGACGACTATGTCTGTGAGGATGACAGCTATAACTATTATGATGACTACAACTATTTAGATGATGACTATGACGACTAAGAAACTAACAACATATCTCTATGGTGGAATTTAATTCATTAGTTAAAGTACATCCCCAATAACACCCAAAAAAATTCAAAATCAAATATCATAATTCTCAATTTCTAAGGGTAATTAAAAACACTGGACCATACAAATCCATTATTATGGTAGTTCTGATCTGTGAATGGCACCATCATCTCTACCTGTTCCTCGTTCAACCCGACATAATGCTGTTGTTGTGCTTGAGGATTCATCCCATCAACGAACTGCATTTGCGGCTGCTGTAGCGTCTGCACCATAGAATCCTCCTTGATTTGAGTGAAAGTCTCACCAGGACCCTTCATCACTCCTTTGTCTGTCACCTCCTGAGGCAAAGGTGACTTGCTGAGTGTTTCCATGCTTTTTTGGATTTCTTTGAGGTGTTGTTCGATGAGCCAACCCAAATCGTTGAGATCAATAAGGTTGAGTTGGTGGAGGGACTTCCCAGTAAGACTTTGGAACATGATATCCATTATCTCCTTTTCGCGATTATTGTTGCGCCTCTTTTTCAGTTGGTCGATTGCTTTAGTGATCCTCTGGCGTAGGAAGCTCTCCTTATTCACCATCTTCTTGCTCTGCTCAATCTCGGGCATCCTCTTAAAATCAGCAAGCACATGTTGGGCTCCAAGAGGGGAAGGCCAAACATCTGGTTGCGAGTCATAAGGGCTGTAAATGATTGTACAGGCTTTGACATCGCAAAGAGTGCTAAGTTCACTCACTTTCTTCATCAGCCCCTTCTTCCTTTTCTTGAATGTGGCTTTTCTTGCAGAGTTGTTAGTGATATAAGCGAGCTTAACCTTTTTTCTAGTCATGGTATTTTGTCATGTGTGCCCAAGGGGCTGGAGGAGGTATATATAAAACGACACAATGGTTGAGTAGCCATTAGTAAGGAATGGGGCGAAGTGTTTTAATATGGAAGAACATACCATGTAAGGTAAGATGTGGTGCATTCTAAAACTGCAAGTGGAATGCCCAAATTATCTCCAAAAATGTTATGTCTTTAATAGGGGATATGGAAAAATCTTTTGATTTAGGGAAATGTAATTAAAAAAAATTTAATTAGTAAGTTGTTGTAAGGCTGTATTTATATAAAATTATTCAATTGTGGCCATCCCTTTTAATTAAAAACTATTGCTTCACTGTAATTCATGTATCTACCTACTCTCTCCTGCATTATCCTCAACATGCATTCACACCTGAAGTTAATTATACATGGCAACCACACACACAAATATTATCTCTTAACCGTCAACTAATATGGCCATCACCTTCTAATCCAACTTAATTGTATGTCTTGATGTCTTACAGTTACCGCCATTTTATTTTTTAATTATTTTTTAAAAAAATACAAAAACCATAGATATCATTTTTTTCTATATCAGAGTTCACATTACATACTAACAATAATTTAAATTTATACTTTTAAAAGTCAATGGTATTAGTTAGAAAGTTGTTGAACTAATAGTTGAACTCAAAAAAATACAACAGATTAATATACCATTACCTTGTAAATTAATAGGGGATTTTGTGACATTAAAATGGTTTTTTTGAATTTGTTAATGTTTGTATTTATGATAAATGTGAGAAATGTATTTGATTAAATGAATTATCTTTTTTTTTTTACTTTGACTCCTTGTTATTACTCTATCAAATCTAAATAAAAATAATAGTTTTTTTTAATGCTAAATTTCTAAAATATATTGGTTTTTACCCTCTCATGTCTTTTCTCTACTTTTACTAGTTTGATCATTATACTGTTTATATGAGTTTTATTCAACTAAATTGGCTTATATATTTCACAACACGAGAACAAATATTAATCACAATATATATCTATGTATATATATCATAACTAAGTTTTTATGGTATTAGAATACTGTTGGAGTGTAATTAGTAATTATGTTTTGCATGGAAAATTTTGAAATCTTACAAATTAAAGTTTGCATGTCGAGCAAATTAACTATAAACCAAGTATGGGCCAGATGTTTTTTGTCTGATCCAGTTGATATATACATATATATATATATATATATATATATATATATATATACATTACATAAGGTACCGATGGAAGGAATACATGTTGAGGTAGGTAAATATATATTAAAATGTTTGTATATGTGTATGGAAGGGTGAGCATCTAAATTTTTATGATGTATAGGTAAATATCAATAGAAAGAAAAATATCAACCAGAAAAACACAACTTTTGATGGTCTTGTTGTACCATGTCATATAATTAATTTTTTTCTTTATGAATTATATAATCAAATATATTGCAATTATAATGAATTATGTAACATATATATGTAATTAGTTTACATATAGATCAATTAAAATAAAAATTATTATAATTAAACTAATTATCTCCCTAATTATTTAATGAATCCTTTGGCATATTAACCTAGTTTCCTTCAATATAGATATGGGAATAAATTATTTCAAATTGTATATTATACATATGGTTTGATGCACTAAAATATTTTGTGTGTATATATTTTCTTCTATATGCAATTATTGATTTAAATAAAAGATTCTGCATCCAGTATTCAATATTCAAAAAAGTGTAATACATACATATATATATACCTGCATATATAATTGCTCTCCTTTTTTACCGCCTTCCTAACTCAACTTTTAGGGAGATTCATTTTTGAATTGACAATGTGGATTTGGAACTCAAGCCCACAATGTGATGAACAAGTTACAGAAATATTTATTTTTATATATACAATAAATTAGCCACACGCAAGGAACCGGATTCATAAACACTTCCTCGATTACCATCATCGTACCACAATTATATATGCGCACCTTTTCTTTTGACTCACTTTATGCATATATATATATACAATTTGCTCTCTAGCTAATTATAATGATTTGCAAACATTTCATATGTAATCTTGTATTTGTTTTTATACTCTTCTAATATGGACACACTAATAATTAGTTCCCAAGTCACAACAAAGTTTTAAAGTAACCAAAGAACTGCCTAGCATCTTCTTCGATCTTCACAAGGCCTACAAATCAAAATTAACAATACGCATATATACATGCAAGAACATATTACATTTCATTCTCTATATCTATATTAAGATCTTCTACAAGTAGACAAGAAAAGTTAAATATATATATTGATAATTTTCATAATCCTCATATAGCCTTAATTACCACCAATCCCCTTCATTTTCTTTTCTTCAAAGAAAAAACTCCATGTATTAGATCCTTGATGCAAGCTTGATGCCACGTTAATTCACCAGCTCATTGAACCTGTTATAACCATAGACAACTCTAAATATCTACTCATTCTCTTAGGTATAAGTTAAAAATCAAAGAAATTGACCATATTCAACATGTTCATTAATTTACCCTCTATATTAGCTTCAATTATATCCTATAAGAAAAAGTAAAAACTTGAAAAGTGTCAAATTGAGCATCATACAATAGCATAAGTAGAAAAGTAAGAACTGCATGTGTAACTTTTAACAGCGATTCAATAGGTAAACAAATAAATAGAAGAATCAATGTAAACCAGCATTGTATGTGTTCTAATGGTACCTATACATACCCACTAAATAGCCTCTTTCATTGACTAGTTAGAATCAATGTTACAGCGTTGTAAACCCATCTAGAAGGCTAAAGAAATAGTCAAAACTAATAAAAAATCCTCCTATTCAATTTGATACTCTAAGATAAATACAATTCACCTTAAATCACTCCTTAGCAACTATCATCTCCTGATTCACCACTAGTCCAAAATCCTAGGTAAAGCTGTCATAAAAGCTATATTACTCACTAAAATCACCAATACTTGTCTTCTAAAGGTCTAGATCCAATTAAATCTGGATGCTTTAGAGATTCTATACCTACTTAGGCTTATTAATTCACCAAGTTATTGAAGTCTCTAAGCTTGAAGTTGAGTTTAACTATAAGTGAAATAATATTCAGTAGTTTTAATGTCAAGACTGTTGATATTTTTCAAATTTGTTTCTTACTTAGCTTATCAATTCACCACGCTGAAGAGAAAGTTGTGTAAGGAGGCATGCTTTTTTCTTCTAACTTTGTTTTTTATTTTATAGTATTACGTGAAAATTTTAATTTTTTGGGCTGTCATCGAACAAATATGAGAAATAGGAGTTGGTATTTGTTCAAATAGGAAATACATCTCTTTACTCGAGTTGATGATGAAATAGAGAGGATGATTAGTTCAGTTTTGATAAGTGACTACATGCTTTATTAGATATTTAGAAGATTGGGTAGTGTTTT